TGGAACTTTTTTTAACTTGACCTGCGCATTCCTTTGATATATCCATATGTCAAATTTGAGTTGAATATGTAACACTGTTGGGGAGATAATGGACAGAATATGAAAATTTCATATTATTTTCAAAGTGAAAGATTTTGTAACTGACCTGATACCTTTAATGTCTTATAAACTCTGTTTTTGCTCAGACTTAAGGCAACTTGTTTGATTCTTAGCTTATTAAAAGTTTATATATCGTTTAACTGTATATACTTAATTATGTGGAAGGCATTACGCTAAACCATCACAAGCTTGTCAGCACTAGATATACACAAATACGTGATGTCAGATTACTGGTTAGTATTAACTACGGCATAGGCTCAAATGGACTACACGGAGGCTAATTTTACATGACGAGACTGAATTTATCTTAAATTTGATGTAAGTCTAGACCGGTAAGTTATGTGGATAATTTCAGAACATTCGGTTACTCCGTTTTCCATAATAATTATTCAAATCCCCTTTTAAACTTGAATCTTCAAAACTTATTAAATGATACTGATATTTGAAATAATATTTTAACATAATGGTAGTTTGAAAAGACTTTTGGTCGATTGTATAATACGAAACTCATCACACTAAGGCTTTGGTCATGACCTGCTGGCCTCAAGTTTTAATGTGGATTGTATACAAAAGATCATCATCACAACATCTAGTCCTTATAGAATTTAGAGAAATTTAAAAAAAAATCCTATATAAGTCCACATAAACTAAGTAACAACAATGGCTTATGCATTTTTAACCCCAGGGGAAAGATTCGTAGAACTTCAGTAGAGGACCTGAAAATGATGTGACATGCCAAATAATTTCTGAGGAAACGATTTTCGGAACATGTTTACTAAGCAAGTCTATATAAACAATGTGACTCAGAGAGCGGGGCCATTATTTTACCGTAGGGTCCAGAAAAATATTTGTTTTCTTAAGCTCCACTAAGCAATGCTATATGAAAAATAAACATGCTCTTGGCTTTTTCCACAAAATATATTTTTTCAGATTTTTTACACAATACAAAACATTTATGCATATAGATCTACATACAATATATGAGATATACGTATAAGGAGGAATAAGAGATTTCTTTTTAAAATCTACAAAGTTTATAAATATAATAAAGATAATAATTCATTAGTATCTTAAAAGAGTTGACAAATTTTTAATACCAGACTTATTTTAGTATAACATTAGCAAAAGATTCATTTCCGGAACTTATTACTTAAAAATATTATAGAACTTATTTAACATAAAGGAGAAACTCCAATTTTATATTGAACTTATATTGAAAAAAGGTCATTAATTCAAGGAAAACAAATCTTACTTTTTTAAAATTGACATCCAGTTAAGAGTTGTCACTCTTGTCATGAATACTTTATGCATTAATATCATAAGAAAGATTTGAAAAGAACAAAGGTCATTCAAGTGTTTAAAAAAGAAAGATACAAAACAGGGTAGTGGGTGCAATACAGAGTGGATCAAGCCTAAATAAATGATCTTAAAACATTAGTCTCAATTAGGCAGCAAAGAAATATATTTTCCCCATAAATTGTCAAACTTTGAAACCTTATTTTTTGCACAATATAATTGTGTTTTCAAAAGAATAGCGACATAATTTTTAAAAAGTTGAACGCTTGGAACTGTATCGATAAAGAGTATACTATCCCAGCAGAATTAAATTCAAGGTTGCATTATCTAAGTATTCATTGCCTAGAATAATATCTGTTAAGGTCCACTGTGTGTTAAGATCTGTACATTTTGAATTTGAATCCATGATTTTATATCTTCCTAAAAAGAAGAACTTAATTGCAATCCCAAAATAAATGTTTCATAGTTTCAATACGGTTGTTGCAAAAAGAACATGTATTAACATCTTTTATTCTCATTTTATGTAAAAGATAATTTGTTACCAGTATCCTGTGAATAATTTTATTCTAAAACCATTGTGAATTTTAATCCTTTGTAATATTAAAAGGGAGCCTATAAATACCATTCCAATTAAAATCATCATTTAAATTGAGTTCATCTTCCCATTTTCTCTTAGCAATAGATGATATATTTGCTCTAAGAATATAATCATAGATTTGTCTACATCTCTTCTTTTGACTATTGATTATCTTGATCATTAAAGGCTGAATAGGCATTTCCTCTTTCTGATGTAGGTGTCTTAAAGACAGCTGATTTAAAAATCTCCTAATAGACTCTATAATGTTTTGATACTCTAAAAAATATTATTTTTTTATCAAACTTAGTTAAAAATTCATCAAATGATAGAAAATTTCCTCTATTGTCTAGGAAGTCATTAACCAATATAATACCACAAATTACATATTTTGAGAAACAAACAGTAGAACCACCTATTTTAAACATAGAATTATGCCAAACAGGAAGTGAGAAAAAATTCACTCCAATTCCTGGGGTAATGCTTATGTAACTTTATAAGCCCAGTAAAAACATCCTTCCAAAATTTATTTGGCACTGTTTGAAGTTTATTTATCAAAAATTGGTCTCCATATATACTAATATTTGATAGAAAAGGGTACATATTATTTACAAAATTAGAGTATTTGGTATTTTACATTAAAATTCTACTTATCCATGTCAATATTAGAGACATTATGAAAGTCTCTAAGTTTATCTCCCTGAAACCCCCATTTTCATAATTCTGATTAACAACATTTTTTAAAATTTTATCTGGTCCTGACCTCCATAAGAATTAAAAGAAGGAGTTTTTATAACTTTAATTATTCCTATATCAAGATTTGGCAAGCTAAGAATGAGGTGAATTAATTTAGGTAATGCTAATGACTTGATTACAACATTCTTACCAATAGGGGTAATAATACGTCTTGACCAATGAGTAAATAACTTATTAATTTTCCCTGTTTAGATAAATAATAAGCTTGAGTCATGTTATTTAAATTAATTGTAAAAGTAACACAAGTAGCTGAAAACATTCAGATTCCCACTGAAGATTAAAGTCGGGACAATTTATTTGAGTATTCTCTTTCATAACCAATCCATACTGCTTTTTTGTTTATCTATGTTAATGTTTAGACCCGAAATTTTAGCATAAAATTATAAAACTTGCATAGTGTGTCTTAGAGACTTAACAATTCCATCAAGCATTATAGTTGTGTCATCAGCATATTGGGATAATAAAAATTCAGAATTACATGTATTAAGTCTGATATCTTTTATATTTGTATTATTTTTCATGAGTAATGCAAGAATTTCTACACATAATATGAAAATGTAAGTGGATAGGGGATCGCTCTGACGACAACCACGTTGTATTTGAAACTAGTCTGACAAATTTCCATTTATTGTGACACAAGAATGAATGTTTTTGTAAAACAACTTTACCCAACTTATAAAATTTTCACTAAAATTGAAAAACGCTTAAACTTTATGCTTAAATGTCCTTGATATAGAATCAAAGGCTGTTGCAAAATCAATAAGTAACAACATTCCAGGAATTTGATGATCATCTGTATATTGCATAATATCATAGATAAGTTTTATATTGTCGCCATTGTATCTTCCAGATAAGAAACCAGTTTGATCTTCACTTATGAGTTTATTTAAAACAGTTTTAAGGCGTTGGGCATTACTTGCTGATGCAATTTTGTAAGAAACATTTAATAAAGAAATAGGTCTCCAGTTTTTAATATAATGTTTGCCTTTGTTTCCTTTGGGATGCATGTTATAGCCCCTTGTTTAAAGGTATCTGATAATTCTCCTGATACAAAAGCTTGGTTAACTGATCTTACTACAAAATCAACTAAATCATTCCAAAAAAAAAAAATTAAAGAAAGCCGCTGTAAAACTACTACTAACTGGGAAAGAATCATTTGACGTTTTTTTTTAAACTGGCTAACATTTCCTTATAAGTTAAAAGACCATCAAGGCCTTGGCTTTCTTCATCATTCAGTTTTGGTATGTTTATATTATCAAATAAAGCAGTGAGGTTGACATCATCTGTTTCCCTTAAAGTATACAAATTTTTGTAATGACCAGCTAATTCTTGTAGAATTTCTTTTTGATCTGTAAGCAAAGTACCCGATATATCATATAAAGAATGCATTGTTTTTGAGACATAAATTCTGTTTTCCATGTTACAAAAATATCTTGATGGTTTTCCCCTTCTGAAATCCATTTGGCCCTAGATCTTATAAAAACACCTTGCATTTTCTTATTTCGGAATTAAAGTAATTCTTCTTTTTTTCATCTAAAACCTGGACATTAATATTTGACTGTCTTTTTAAATTACCAATTTCTATCATTATTTTTCCTGAGTTTTGTCTTCTTGTTTTTTATAAGACGAATACGAAATAGTTTTCCCCTAATTTCTATAAACAGTGTTTCAAAAAATAGTTTTTCATCTATTATAAAACTTATAAGATTATTACTTATATTTTCTAATTGTACATCTGTTTCTTGGGCCTCAGAAGCATATTGTAATTTGACATGGGATATAAGTGATTTAATTTCATTAACATACTGTGAATCTTTCAAAAGAGAATTATTAAATTTCCAGTATGAAATACCTTTTTTAAATTTGCCAAATTGAATACTTAATAAAATCATGGAATGATCTGTTCTGTTCTACAATTGTTAACCTTCCCTTTCGTTTCGTTTAAGGTTAACTGTAGTTTTGGAGTACTATTCACTTTCAATATAGTACATGTAGTATAGTGTGATACTATAGTTGGTAATTCACTTGTATCTGGATAAAAATGTTTTAAATCGAAATATTACGCTATACTACTGATACAGAAGTGTAACCTTATCATTGATGTAATACGTTATATAACTCGTAATATACAATATGGACAAGACTACATTAATTAGCTCCCTTGCGAAATCTAATATAGTATATATAGTTAGATATCGGTGTTTATAACGTATGTATAGATAACTTTATTGCAAGTGACACAATAATGTATGTGAAATTCACGCTATCTTTGTCAACATGTTCGTAACTCAATATTAAACTATGTAATATATGTTAAACTGATTATGTCAAATCCTATAGTGAAGGAAACAAAATAGATTAAACTGTTCACCTTCAAGAAATTTGCAGACTATCCATTGATTTTGTGATTGTATATATGTATGTATGAATGAATGTATTATGTAATTGACTATGTACTTTGTATACGTCAAAATAAACTTTCTGTTCTGTTCTATAACCTGGCACAATGTCAACACTACTCATATCTGTAAAAAGATTATTGAAGATTAAGAAAAAATCAAGCCTAGCTTTTTTATAGGGTTTCTTTTAAACCAAGTATACTGCCTTTTTTCTAAAAATTGTTCCCTCCAGCAGTCAATTAAATAACATTCAATTATCATATCTAAAACAACTTCCCTGACCTTAGGGCTATTTATGTTTTAATAATTAAAGCGGTCCATATTTGGACTTAACATCATATTAAAGTCTCCTACCAGTATACATGGGTTCTCAAACTGTAAAATTTTCTCTTTTATATTATTGTAGAAGATAGGGTCATCTCTATTTGGTCCGTATATACAAATTAAAGTGATATCAATATTTGAAATGCATGCATGTATAAAAAGTAAATAACCTTCTTGATCTGTTTCAAGACTTTTAAATTTAAAGTCAAAATTGTTATTAATAAATATTGCTACTCCTCTAGATTGACTATTATAATTACTGAAATAACATTCATATCCCCACTGCGAACGGATATAATTAAAATCTTTATTAGTAAAATGTGTATCTTGTAAATAATGCACGTTGTATTTTTCCCTTTTAAGTAATTACATGAATCTTTTCTTTTTTGGCTATCCCCTAACCCCTGAACATTCATTGAGACAAAATTTATTTTCAGTCATTATGTCAAAAATCCCCAAAACAGTAATAATATTTGACAATGTTTTCCACAAAATATTCATATGTATTTTCTTATTTAACCAAGGGGCGGGACTTATTTTTACTCCAGGAGCTTGATTTATAAAACAAGGTGACTCTGAATGCCAAGTATCTAAGCTTTAGGCACTAAAGTTTCCGAAACGTTTCTTTGAGATATTTTACAATACAGGTCAACATTCAACTAAGTGGCTTCCAGGGTCGGTCCATTTTTTTTATCCAGGGGCATGATAAATAACACTTAACAAACTGAAAATCAATTAGAAAACACTTTAAATTAAAGGATTAGCTGATCTAAACCATGCACATCAAACAATAGATAAAATTAATAATAATAATAATTATAATACCAATAACAAGGATGAAAAAGATGTACTAGAAATAATATCCATGAAATATAATGAATTAGAAAATTTATATGAAAATAAAATAAATGGATTATTAAAAAGATCAAAGGCTATCCATGTTGAAGGAAATGAAAAAACCCAAAAAAACCCAACTCAAAATAGTTTGCTATTAATTAATCTCAGCTATCCCAAAGTGCCTTGAAGAAAACATTTCAGTGCATTGAAAAGCTAATGAAAGTCATACATGAATTTGGAAATATATCTGGTCTAATACTAAATATTTTGAGAATATATTAAAACCATTAGGTGGTAAATTTATTTTTGAATGTAATCATGTTTCAATGGTGTTTCACGAATCTGTAAAACAAATACATTTCTAAGAGATTTCTTAATTACATAGTTTTCTGTAGTAAAATCCTCTAACATAAATAGAAATGAAGTTAGAAAACATATCATATGGAACAATACTGAGATAAAAGTACAACAATATAATTTACTGGCAAAATGGCATGAAAAATGCACACATTATATAGAAAAACTCTGATTTTCGTACAAAGGCCTTTTATAAATTTGAAACAGCAAAACAAATCTAAATCTTGACACACAAGATTATTTAAAATATCATCAATTAATGTCAGCTATCCCAAAGAGCCTTAAAGATTATTTGAATGTCTGTATATTATGCTTGAAAAATAAATGAGAAAAAAAAACACTTTAACAAAATACCCCAAAGATTATGCTACATGCAAAATAAATATGTTTTGGAAAAAGCAGTTTCACAAAAGAAGTAATGAATGTATTAACTTATATCAGTCTATATGAAATTAAGTGACCCCAGGGGCCGGACAAATTCTGGCCCCAGGGGTATTTTATGTAACTTTTGTAGAGGTCCACAATGTGATGTTAAATGCCAAATACTGGTAAGAAAGCCGGTAATGTAGATCGATTGCCCAGATATGAACAAACATGTGTTAAATTCAGCGTAAAACACAGATACACAAAAGTTGGTTTAATTACTTTTTCCAATGTTTTCGACTTAAACTAAACTCAGATTAAGTCATTCATATTATTATGCAATTCATCCCAGTTAAAGCCCGGTATAAGTTACATTGTTTTTTTTGCAAATGGTATCGGTTAAACTCAAGTTGTTTTAACTCGGGTTTGAATTTAAACTAGACATATGCAATCAGCCTATTATGTTTCGAAAAACAAAATCTATTTTGCATTCTTCTTTTTCAAATGTCGATATTTCTTGAAAAGTGTTTTGTATTGTTTTCATTAAGTTTAAAGGGTGCTTTTCAAATACTAGTAAGGCCCGTTCGTAAAAAATGTTTATTATTTTCAACTATTTCACAAATAATGTCATCTACGCAGCGTCTTTGTATGATGTTGATGGTTAATTGATTGATGGAAACACCATTTGTGTACTTTTTTGTACAAGAGCAACCAAATTATATATTGACTGATCATTTTTGTATTTCCATGGTTTGATTCCTCGGTAGACGGGGTCGTTATACTGGTTTCCTTTTATTTTGACTGGTATCAATCTCTCTTTCTTTTCGCATAAAGATTCCAGTAACTGCCCTTCACATAGATACTTTCTAATCTCGTCATCTCTCAGATTGTTGGTTACAATGACAAATACGAACACGTATTTATCAAAGGCATCATTTAAACTTGAGAACTTGAGTCCAATTCCAACTTCGGATTCAAGATCCATTTTGATGTTCCATTTTTCTACATCTGTTTTGATCTTTTGTGCAAGCTCAGAATCCCCTTCTCCGAGTATCATTAAAATATCCTTTTCAAAGCAAAGTCTCGTAAGTTCTGGAAAAAAAATGTATAATATCTCATTTTTAGCAGAGTGTATTGAAACCGATTTTAAATACCTACAACTAGCTTTCAAGGTACCTTAACCAATAAGTCAGGGAAATACGTATTTGTCAAAATCTATATAACATAAAGGTGCATCAGTTAAAAGATGAAAAAAAGAAGATTGAAAATGTTAAAAAAAATGTCAATGAAGTCCATTAAATGTTAAGTGTATAAAAATGTCCGCTGTAGATCAGAACAAATATTACATATTGGTATCGCTACATCGTTGTTACAAACGTAGTTGACTGCAGCTCTCTACATTTTAAACCTTATAGCACATAATTTACTTTACGTCTGCACTTATAGGCAAGAAATGTCTGGCCGGAGTGTCAGATATTAAAACAATAATCTACATAAGGTTTTACAAACATGGCGTTGGCAGTCTCCTCAAACTTTTAACTTGTGAGTATTTTTCTTTTAATGAAGCATAGTGATCTGTTTGTTTTGGAAATTTTATTATTCATATGTTGGGTCCTCTTTAAGTATGGAAATAATCCCCCAAGTGTATTTTGATGTATCTGATATTTTAAAACCTGTGTTCTGTTGGGAATAGGAACTCATGACGTTTCTCAAGTGTGAACTCAGTCCTTTGCAATTCAATGACCCAGTCACTATCCTATGCTTCTTACTTATAGAGATCATTTCGTAAAAGATTTGAACATCTGCCGGTGAGGTAATTGCCGTTTCAACTACGGTTTCATCAGCAAAGAAACGGGGCTTACTATTATTGGATAATGAATGAAAGGATCTGAAAAGGACCAATAACAGAGCCCTGAGAGACACCTGAGAGTAAGGTGAGATTCTGTGATAGGTGACCTTCTATCGCTTTTTTTACACTGTGATAATATGATGCACTACTATTATTCATTTAAAAAATGGTAAACTATGTTACAAGGGTGTTTAATACATGCATCGCAGACAATACTGAGAGTTACTTAATTCATTAAAAGACAATAAGTATGTAGTAAATCACTTTGAGAAAGAAAATGATATGACATAAGTTTTAACACACAATCACCATTAAAATAAATTCAATTTTGATTATTACAAATAAGGTTTTCATTTTCTATCATATTTCATTCTCAACAGTGTTCATTAAAGGGTATAAAGCTATATTTTATGATATAGATTTTATAAAATAAAAACGGTAGAATTACATATTTTTCCATGATCTTATGATCGTATGTCGAATAATATGGAACACAGAATGTCCCTATATTTAAAATACGATTGATAAAAAAGTTCTTGGCCCGATGTACTTCCGGTAGTCAGAGAACTCAACTTAGGTCTTTCCTTTCAATATAATCGCCCTCTACATCAATAGACTTTGCCCATCTGTGCTCCAACTTGTTTAACCCTTAAAAATAAAAACTTATATTTTGGTCCTTAAAGAACTCACTGACCGCCTCCATGACACCTTCATTGCCTCCAAATCTTCTTCCACGAAGCTTGGTTTTCAGTTTCAGAAACAGGTTAAAGTCGGGGGGGGGGGCAAGTCATGAGAATATGGGGGATGGGGATGAATTTCAAACCCGCAGTCAGTTACATTAGCCATCGAAACTTGGCATGTGTGAGCTGGCGCATTGTTGTGCAGGTGCAGAACGCCTTGAGTCAGTTTGCACCTCCTTTTACGCCTTTTTTCATCTCAAATCGTCTGCATAATACGTACCGTTTATGGTACGACCTTGCTCAAGATAGTCGATCATGATTATCCCCTGACTATCCCAAAGATTGAAGCCATTATCTTCCCTGCTGATTACACCTCTTGAATTTCTTCGGATAGGGTGGTGAGCCAGGGTGCTTCCACTGCATGCTCTTTTTTGGATTCTGGATCAGTTAGGATCCGGTAGATGAAATCAGATTCATTCTCGTAGTGAGACAAAAGATATCTTGGAATGTCAAGCATGGTCCGTTTCTGGTCGTCAGTCAACTGTCTGGTCGTCAGTCAACTGTCTGGGGACCCATCTAGCAGAAACTTTGAAATGCCAAAGACATCAGTCAAAATTGCCTGAACTGAACCAAAGCTTATACCCACTTCCCTACCAATGCTTCGCAGGTTTTCTGCCGCACATGACCAGATCGTGCACAGCTTCGGCAGTTTCATCCTTGATTGCCTCTTTTGGCCGCTCTGGCCGCTCATCATCTCCAATGTTCTCACTGCCCCTCTTAAATTCAGCAGCCCGTTTTTTTCAAAGTGCTATAGGAAGGGGACTCCTTCCCAAAGGTATCCATGAAGGCTTCATGGATTTCCTTGGGGGACATCACTTTCTTACAGAGGTTCTTAATGACGGCTCTGATTTCAACTTTCCCCATTTGGTCTAAATGACACACCCCACTTCTGATCAAAATGTGTTTTATGTTGCTAAATCTGTGTAAAACCGCGTGTAACTCGGTCAGTTATCTTCAATAAGATATCGGTATCGACGTATCGCGTGTGTAAATGTCAGTGTAGTGGCTAGAAGTATATCGGGTCGAGAACTTTCTGATCATACCTCGTACATGTTTATTCTATAAACCGAATAAAATGTTCCCAAAACAAAATATTATGGTTTCAATTTTAAGTAAGGTTTTAACCGTTCAGCAATGATTTCGTTTATGCCCTATTTTTTAATGGCAATATACAGCCATGTTTCTTTGAAAATAGCATTTTGGAAGTATTCTCTTTAAATTCAAACAATAAGTTTAGCAGAAGATATAAAGCTTTATTTAAATTAAGTATACTCACCATTGACTTGAATACCTAACTTTTTAAGCTCTGTCTGTCCAATGTATTTCTCTCTCTGAAAACATTCGGCTACCTTTGCGAAGAAATTTGCCGTTTGTCTAAAATGAAAAAAACAACAAAACAACAACAATAACAACAACAACAACAACAACAATAATAATAATAATATAACAACAACAACAGTAATAATAATAATAATAATAATAATAATAATAATAATAATAATGATAATAATAATAATAATAATAATAATAAAACATGTAATAATAATAATTAAAGCGCTTTGTAATAATTACACAAAACACTATTATGCTGATGATGAAAGGAAAAAAAGGGAAAATGACATGTATATACAATAGTAATAAACGTTACGTTGAAGATGATAATATTTAAAAAATGATTAAGAAAATACAAAAGGAAAGATGATGATGTTGATAATGATAATCTTCATCGTCATAATTATACTCATTTTTTAGATGATGATTAATCTTAATTATAATGATGATGATTATCTTTTCAAAACTGAGAAAAGGACGTATGATTCGTACAATTCCTCCCTGCAGTCTGGCATTAGTCTCCTGGAATCATTTTTCATGAGGCCTGCAAGGTCATTTTCTGCATTGACGTCAGGACATTTCAAAAACATTTTCAATCCATTTAAACAGACCTTGTCGTCGGCGAAAAAACCATCCAGAAAACTGAAAATTTCATCCCTTTTCTGAAAGGAAAAAATATCTTTAGAAATATAAATGATTGGTGAAGACTATGCTTTTTCTTTTTTTTTGTAAAAATGATGTTGTTTAAAATTTTAAACACACGGCTATTAAGTAACGTGTAAATAAAGTGCATATGTAACATACAAAAATGTCATACTGATATGATAGGGAGGCACACATTTTTAACTGATTAATAAATATACAATCTAAACATACTATCTATACATATTACCTATATACTGGTTAAACCGGTGCTAGGGGGCACAGAAGATGTTGATCCTTCTACACAAAAATATCATACTCATATAATAGGAAAACCTTCAATCTCATAACTGATTAATGAATGTATAATCTTAACATACTAGTATGATCAATATACTGGTTAAACCGGAACAAGGGGCATGAGAGATGTTTAACCCTCCAAACAAAAATATCATACTGATATTATATAGTGATAACTGATCAATCAATATATAATGTGAACATATTGGTATGATCAATACACTGGCTAAACCGGTGACGGAGGGCATAACATATGTTGAACCTTCCAAACAAAAATATCATACTCATATATAATAGTGATGCCACTAATCTCATAACTGATTAATCAATATATAATCTAATCATACTAGTATGATCAATATACTGATTAAACGAGTGCTAGGGACATGAGAGATTTTGAACCTTCCATAATCTGTTATGAATAAATAAAAAAGCCCCTAGTAAAAACAATGTCTTCGCAAGGGATTCCAATATTTTCTAGATTTTTTCATATCAGACAGAATTAGCTACCCTTTATACTGGTGCCTCACACGCTCCGTGTAAAACACGTCGCGTGCTTTAAATGACGCCATTCTCGCGCGCCTTTTATGAATGAACTGCATTCTTAGAATGATGTATTTTACCGTTATGAATGAAGTTGTAAATTTATACGCTAGTACATGTATAAGAAAAAAGTGCTTAATCAAAATTAGTTTTCGTAATTTCTATTCCATATATGATTGTTTTTAATATGTAATATGTAAGAAAAAGAATCACACACCGGCTGTCATCACAGACGGGAATATTTAGCTCTCGGGTAACTGTTAAGCGGAAACTCGGCAGAGCCTCGTTACCCGCCGTACCCTCGAACTAGATATTTTCGTCTGTACCGGCAGCCCTCGAACGACATATTTCGTCTGTACCGGTTGCCGGTGTAAAATCCTTATGTTCTATTTTCTTCCTAACTCTTAGAAGGAAAACAAAGATTTCAGCATACCTTAACATTTGTATATTGCACAGTTCTATTCAATAAAAAACTTGATCTAATATATATTCATTGGGTCAAAACAATCTTGAATTTAGACAAAAATGATATAGTCATTAATTCTTACTTGTTGAAATGTTGTGTCTAAAGATTGAGAAGGGATATCGGTTTCTCTCAGGCTATTTCCCCCTGAAACACATAAAACATATAATGCATGATCGAATAATAGCACGCGCTTTGATTAAAATATCAAAGTACAGAAGTACAGATGGTAACTACCTATATATATATATATATATATATATATATATATATATATATATATATATATATATATATATATATATATATATATATACATATAGTGTAGGACGCGACCCATTCATTTCCTGGAAAATACTTTAAAATTGTCTAACCGCAATGTCTAACAAATCTGTGAACATATCTAGTAGACAAAATATACGCCAAACACATCTGCAAATTATGCATGCCACAAGATCTATATATGTGTTGATGTAAAAATGTTGCCTACACATAAATCTAAATCATGACACGCCTCTGTGGTGGGTAATATTTCAAGTATAGTTTCTTTAAATGACAAGTAAGAATGCATTGATATTAAGAACACATATTATCAATCAAATTAAACAATTCATGCCGGAACTATTTGGAACTATTTGAAAATGCGTATGCTGATTTGGATGATATAAAGATTTCGGCAGGATGAGAAGATAACGACAATTGAGTAAACGGCATGGTTTCAAAAATTCGAAAAAAGGTTGTAACTATGGTAAGACGCTAAAGCAAAAGCCCAAAATGTAGAACCTGTGCCAGGTTAACATACTTGTTCCGGCGCTTATTCCAAAAATGTCTACCTATTCACGTGGTCAAGACAAAAAAAATGCTAACACAGTAACAAAACTGTACAAAGCCATGATCTCATACTTACAAAATAAATTTGCAAATTATTGTTTTTAGACTGTATGATGGTGAAGACTTCACTTTGACAATATAATGAATCAATATACATAAACACAATCGACTCTGACCTAGAACCCAGTGACTTCAATCTCAAATCACAGTAACAAGACCCTCAAAGATATCCAACAGTATGAAAAAGATCGGTCAATAAATCAGAGATGTGTAAGTAAAACTGTAACACATTTTTTTTGGCATGAGTTACTCAAAACTCCACCGTGTCAGAGGACTACCCAATTTTAACGTTTAATAAATATGAAAAACATTGGTCAATAAATAAATGCTGCATAAAGAAAGTGTAAAACTCATTTTTAGCATCGTTGACATTGTCATTTAACCCTTAAACTAATGTAAGAAAATTATTAAAAGGGATGTACATATCAGATAAAAAGGGCATCGGTAAATAGTTAAAAGCTGTATGAATAAAAGTTTGAGCATCGGTGACCTTAAACTAAGTATTGCCTATGTCCACCATACCGAAGGTATGTACCTACCAAATATGAAAGGCATCGATCAATAAATAAAGAGTGTTTTAGCTAAAGTGTAAATATTTATTTTTAGCGTTGGTGACCTTGACTTTGAACTCAGTGACCTTTAACTCATACGAAAGGTGAATAAGTACTGAAAATATGTAACTATGTCGATACCAAATATTAAATATATTGATAAACAACGGCAAGACTGCCACAAAGTACGCCGTCATTAAAGCTTTTGATGGACATGTGGGCATTAAAGATATGTAAAGCAATTAGCTCTAAGTGTGACTTTGACCTTTAAACTGAATCACACTTAATGGTTGGTGAACATTTCTATATAGTATCACTAAAATTCTTCCATTCATGTAGGTGATATGCTCCAGACAAATCAAGATATTTCATCATCTTTATAGTGACCTTCACCTTGAATACATTGACCTAAAATACAAGTACAAAAGTGATAGTCATGATGATGACCAATTGTACTACAATCCCTCCATAAATATATCTTTATATCCCAATACACATCTTCATTTTATATTTGAATTTTGACCTATGACCTGCAGACCTTGTTCATGTCGGCAATGAGGCTTCTCATAGTGGTGAACATTTGTGCTTAGTTAAATTAAAATCTATCCATGCATATAGAAGTTATACTAGCAAGTGAATGTTTTATTTTGTTATTTGATTTTTGACCCCTAAGTGTGACCTTGACATTTGCCACATACACCGGGATTTTTTGCGTGACACTCCGCCTTACTATAGATAAATGTTGTCCCACGGTATATTTAAAAATCCTTCCATGCATGTAGAAGTTATGCTTCTGACACGGGCTTTGCGCCCAAAGTGTGATCTTAACCTTTAAGCGGCAGACATGAGTTATGTGTGCGACATACCACCCTATCATGATGAATATTTGTACAAAATTATTTTGTAATCCTTCAAAGAATGAACAAGATACAGGCCGGACTTATCCGGACAAACAGAACTTGCTGCGCCAGGTTCTAAATTACAGTCTGCATCAAAAATGATAATACATTCTTCGTTATGTATTTCAGTAATAAAGTCTTTTACGCTTTTCGTCTGGATTGATTGACCAACAATTAAGATTCACTATTTCAATTCAGGGTATCGCAGCTGTGGCACTGGAATCACTAGTTAAATGAATTCTCTAGTGATTTTGTCCTTTGTCGTAGACCAGTTAGTGGTGATGGCGGGTAGGGGTGTGCCAATGGCAAAATTGTTAGAGTAGCTGACTAGGTAAAGCTCATGTGAGGTACCTTCGAAACTGAAAAAGGTTATACCTCACTTAAGACAATCATTTGGCTGTTTTATAGTGATTAACTTTTGCCTCAAAAGTAATTACTTTGGCTTATAACACCACACAATTTCTATGGAAATTGCAGAAGTTAAAGTCTCACTGATTTTTCAGTCAGACTTAACCATTCGTACATAGGTTAAGGCCAGTTTGTGCCCTAATGAGAGGAAACAATAATTAATTGAGAGCATAAATAGTAATTATCAACACACTTATTTCTAATGTAAATTATATTCATTTGCCGCTATTAAAGCATACCCGTTAGAGGTCTCAGGACGTTTCGTGATTTCCCTCTGTGTTATATTTTCGTGATGACCCTCTTGTGTAATATTTCAGGTTTACTTAGAAAACTGGGTAGAAACTGTGGTTCAGCACTCTTGTCTGGAATGCTTCCCCTAATGAAATAACTTATTGCCTTGGATAAACTGTCAATAGTATTGATAGCCGAGTTTTCAGAATTAGTGACCTTATTTAAGTTATGATAACAGGTTGGTTACAAAATGTCATATACTTTAAAACTTTTCATTAATAATTTGCATGTTTCATATCATCATGATTTTGATTTTATCTTTTAGAAGTTTTAGATGTTATAATAAAATAGTTACAATAAGAAAACATATACCCTCAAAAATATACTCACTATCTTTTGAAGTGTCATTCTCCTGACCTTCAATCTTGTTGTCATCATTGTTGCCATCCTTTTCATTATCTTTGCTGCTTTTCGATTGATCTAAAACATTAATGAAGTCTATAATAGCTTCCATTATCTGAAACCGGTTTTATTACTTAATATAGAATTCCATGATCGCTTTTTTAGTTCTTGAACAACATTGGGCCACATTGTCGCAAAATACGCCAGTCACAAGAGCTTTTGACAGAGATGTGGGCATTACATGTATATATATGCATATGCTATGGACAATATCCGGAAAATATCTATATATCTTATCATCTCTACTGACCTTGACCTTGCAAATATTA